GATTATAACTGGGCTTAGGGAGAAGTGCACTGCACCTTAATAACATTATAGCAGCTGAGCTAACCGATTAGGAAGGAGACCCATTCCATCTCCTATACTCTTCCATTCTTCAGGTTATTCGTCTTCAAATATGTTTGGACTGTGGTGCACTTCTTTTGTCTTGTTTAGCAAAAAACCTTATCCAGAAATCCATTTTACCTGCAGGTATGAACTCCATCTGCTTCTGAAGTTACTGATCTTTTCAAGATTAACAGCATGTTTCGATCATCATATTTTTTCTTTAGTACTTTAGGATGGCCTTTCTTCTTCATGCTAAATGTTGCCTACTCTTCCAACTGAATGGGAATACTTGTAATGAACAATAATTGGGTCATCAGCAGTGATTTTGAACTGTCACTTTACTGAATGATTTTGGTGAACGTGGAGTCATGCTAGAACTGAAGTTCACAGTTTTGGTATGTCCTTCAACGTCATTTGGATCAATAAACAGTTTAATATCCTTGGCGTAGTAATAATAATAATAATAAAAAAATCGCTGACCAGCGAACATGACAGTCGCCATTACAGTCTTCGTTGTTTACATGCGAACCAAACGTTACCACTGGTGAAGCTTGTTGAGGGCCTAGCTCTAGCACTGTTATCATTCTTTAAGCATACTTCCAGTACTGGCTGATAAAATGCACTTGTAAGTCCACTTATAGTATTCTGTGAATACTATAAGTGGACTTAAGTATTCTATTTTTTCATATATCAAACCTCTCCCACAGGATTATACGTGAGTTTAGAGGTAAAATATTCAATAAAACTGAAAAAGTAAAATAATCAATTCCAACAGTAAATCAGTTTTTTTTAATGGAAAATTAAAAATTCATTGTGGATTCTTTTTATTTTATCAGATTAATATGAATTTTCACTAAAAAATTGTTACACTAGTTGTTACATACCAGAACACTTCTATTTATTCATTATCGACTGACTAAAAATGTTGCTATTAGTGCTGAAAATAGAACTGTCCAACTTTCACATTTCTAGACTATTTTACGACAGATTTTTCTTCCAAAAACTTATAATAATTCCTTTCAGGTTATTTTAATTTATTGGAATTAATAACAAATTGAAAATTGAATTAACAAATATTTCAAATGAGCAAATATCAGAAGCCATTCGATAGCTAAGAAAAAGACTTAACAATGATTTAACTGTGTCAGAATAGCCTGTCTTCAGACTATTCTGAAAGTGACAATATTATAATTATTATTATTATTATTATTGGAGTCCATAATTTTACAATATACATTATATAGAACGGCTGAATGGCCGAGTGGATATGGTGTCAACTTACTGCTGTAGGGCTCTGAGAACGACGGATGGATAAAAAATCCCAAGAATTTTTAGGTGGACCATCTCGGACGCCCCTAGACCAGTTTTGTTTATAATGCGCCATGACCTAGAGATTGCCACACTATAAATAAATTTATAAGAGTTTGCATCTCGAAAGATTTTCGATACGTAGAGAACTAACAAATGCAGAATACTGAAATCAATGACTGTATAAAAACTTAGAAAAACTTATTGATTTCCTAAATAACTTGATAGCAGAAATCAATTTCGATAGAAATAAAACTAGTCAACCGATAATTAAGGTTTAGCAGCTTTGATTATAGGTATTTGCTAGAAGTAGAAATTTATCATCTTTCGAAAGAATAATTATAATCAATACTTTTTTAAACATTACTTGGAGAAATCTTGTTTCTTTTTAAAACTAGTAACTGGTAGAAGGAAATTATGAATGAATATCTGCAATTTTCTAAGAAAACTATTCAATTGGCGCAAGTGAATGTAGCCTTCTTTTTAGGAATTTATTTCTTGAAAGCATACGTTCACATAACCCTATTTAGTTGTACCATTAATTTTCCTCTTTTGTTCAAATAACAAAGGAATTTTAAAATATGGCAGAGGCTGTTGTTTGACTTTCCAGGCACTCGAATAGGAAGTTAAGGGGACCATTAGGAAATTTGATAATTTTCAGTTATACTCAGATATAAAATTTCAGTCATAACAAAAGCTTAAAAGGCGTAAGTTTGTTGAATAACGATAAAAATCTCCATTTAAAAAATAGTCCACTTAAAATTGAATGTTTACATTATTGACCATCTGTTACGAGATAATAATATAAAAGTTATTATTATTAGGCAAAAAAGGCTTAAGTTTGAAATTAGTGATGAGTTTTTAAAATGTTTTAAATGTCAATAACGAACATTTTTATTTAAGTCTGACCCCACTCGATATGATACACGATCTCTCGTTCCTCTATCTCCTATTTCAGTTCAGTACTCCAAAATTTATGGCATTAATGCCCTTATATACAAGTTACCATGCCAAATTTTAGTTTCATAATCTTTATCCCATTCTGAGATATTACACATTTATGGCATTTTCTTTAGATTTTGAAATATTTTATGATATTAATTTAAACCAAATATTTCACTTCCAATCTACACTGCTGGCCAATAAGGCCAGCAGTGTAGATTGTAAATTGCTACCCAGGAAGGAAAGCAAATAGCAGAATCATGTTTATTATATACATATAGTATATTGGGAGGAAGACATTAAATTGATAGATAATCTTGAGGCACATTAGCACCCAGCATGTTGTACAGTACATACCTTTCATGCAAATTTTGCATTTGTTGCCTGCTGCCTTCATGGTGTAGCAATTTTAAAGGTCAGCAGTGTATTTTTGATTTTTCAGCTAAAAGGATTAGCATAAAAAGGACAATTATCCATCCATATCAGATGAACACTAAGGAGTGAGTTACTAAACATGTACCCCCTTAACATTGAAGAAACACTTAAATGATTAAACCATATTTGATTTTGTAATGGATAAATATTAATAGTCAAACCATAGTCACATATTTATCATTGCATATACTAATTTATCATTATATACTCTGTAAATTTTAATTCATGAATATTTAGAAATAGGAAATTATTAAATGATTTATTTAATATTAATCTAATATTAAATAAATCATTTAGTTAATAAACTTGTAAAAAAATATGATATTTATTCATTTTAACTCCAATTTTGTATCTTTCCCATAAAAATTTTAAATAGTTTTGGTTTGATAGATCTTGCAGACTTTATAGCAATTTAGAAAATTGAAGTTCTGTGATTCATGAAGGAATGGATTGGAATTTCTGTACATTATACAAGATGTCTACTTAAACATATATCAGGGCAAGATATCTTACTGGCTTTGGTTAGATTACATTATGTTGTGGACCACAGCATACACTGGACATGCACCCATTCTGTTGCTATCTGCAATCAACAGAGATGATACCACAAAAAGATTCGAGTGGTGCAATATTACATTCAATTTACAGCATAATGAATTGCAACTCCTTTATACCATTTTATGAGGCAGTTTTCCAAAATAGTGTGGATAGCTGTCACAACATGCATCACTGAACACAGCACGCTCCATGATGCATGCAACATATGTAACATAGTATGTTTTATCCCCATGGTTCTCAATCTTTTTGAAGTTGGGGAACACTAAACTTTGACATTTTTTCCACAGAACAAACCTTTTGGAAATCAAGAGCACACTTGGTCTAGTATATAATGTCATTGGCATTTGCTGATTACCATACACAAACTGTTTTACATTGTATTGATTTTTCTTTTGCAACAATTTTTAATTGTATATTTGATTTTTCACGGAACACTTGAAGTGGCTTCATGGAGCACCCATGTTCTGCAGACCATGGATTGAGAACCACAGTTTTATCATAAATGTCTAGTGTGGAATTTGGGATGAGCAGCTTCTTGATTCCGTATATGTTGATAGCACCCTGAAGAGTGACTGATATCTGAACATCAATATCTAAACAGAATAGTGGATGAATGGCTTGATAACTTTCCATTGGTGCAATTACAGCGATATGATGGTACCTACATCATTTCCAGTATGCATCAGTAACTTAGAGTGGTTTGGCAATCCTAGATAGGACATGTTCCCAGTATTAATCCTTTTGGATTTTTTTCCTTTGGGATCACCTTAAAGCATTGATATATGATGTGTTCCCAGCAGTGTCAAGTATCACTGACAAACTGGAGAAACACATACAAGAGGCCTGTTAAACAATGACACCAGAATGCTGTACCATCTGGAACACCAATGCTCCATTGTCTACATCTTTGTATTTCCATTGAAGACAGTTTTGAACATGTTTTCTAACAAAATAAGTTCTCTTTTTGCTATCAATTTATACAATATTGTCTTAGAATGTATGTTAAGTCAAACTGTCTTAAACTGATTCCCTTTGGTTATTTCAGCATGCACCAAATACACATAATCATTCAATACTAAAAAGATCTCTCTTGCTCCTGGATAAATGCTTAGCTAAACATCTTATAAATTATATATGTCAAATTTTACTTCTACTATATATCTTTTAATTGGTTTTTCCTACCTTTCCAAGACTTGTTTGATTTCTTTTGTTAAATATTTCACTATCAAAATAAAGTATATTAAATGGAGAAATTTGTATTTTAAATTATTTCTTATTACCTGATTCCTTTAAAACAATTTCCCATTTTATTTCAATTCATTTTTCACTAAAAGAAATCAAAATTATGAAAAAAGCATTGTTAACAATAAAGAATGATTTGTAACTTTATTGTTGCATCTATAATGTCAAGAATTTGTAATTTTATATCACTTAAAATAAACAATATAACCTAGAATTAACAGAATACATTTTATTGTATATTCTAATGGGAATTTCACAAACAGTAGAGTTTTTTTACATTTTTTTTGCATTTTTTTTTATAAGTATAAAAGAAAACACTCCAAACTGTTAGCTTAAGTATATTGTCAATAATTTTATCAAACAAAAAATTTATTAAATATTATATCTAGTGAGAATATGTATAATAGAAAATGAGTATAAAGAATTTTTAGGTTTAGAATAATAAATTAGGGTACAGGGAAGCACAATACAATAAAACTATACAGTAATTAAAAAAACTTCTAAATAAATTATAAAATACTAATATACAATTTTTTAAAAAGTGCATATATAACTATTTCATCTTTTCTTTTTGAAACAGACTGCAATAACCAGTTGCATGAAAATATGATCAAGAGTAACAAACTATCACTTTTTGGTGTTGCCGGAAAAAAATCACAAAAAATCTGAATTTAGTAAAAGTAAACAAAATCACGTATTCCTGATTTTTCCTGGTACATAATTTTTGTCTATGACAGGTTCTTGGAGAAACATGTGAAGACACCTCTCGTTCTGTGCTAAAGGATGACCCGCAACCCTGAAATTTTTATAAAAGAAAACAATAAAATTTCAACATACTTGTTCATATTGAAAATACTAAAATAAAAATTATTATAATATGAACAACAAAGAGTTAAAATGAATTATTTAACATTATATTCTTCTTTATTAATTATAATCCAAAATCAATTTTTGTTTTTATGCCTTTAGGAATAAATAGAAATATCTAGGCACTGTCCTTGCCAAAAAATCGTAATTAAGAGAGACAGTTTTATCAACAATACAAGATATTGCATTGGTCCATAAAACTGCATCTCTCTTAATTGCACATTTATATAATCTGATACACTTAACAGATTTCAAAAAATTTCTTTCAAAATGATTGGTTGTTTTTACTACTACTCCAACAAAAATTGTTCCTAACTGAAATAAAGACTAATCATTCCAGTACATTCTAAAGTAAAAATCCAAAAATAATTTAAAGTAATCTAATTTTTCATATCTAGGTAATCTTAGGAATAAACGCATAACAGAAAAATTAAATAAACAAAATATATATTTAAAACATGCTATATTTAAGTTTTTGTGGTTATTAACACTGAAGTATTTTAATTCTATGAAATTCCTTTTAATTGTCATCTACTGTTAATATTTATTAAACAGTCTCAATAATAAAACTAACAACTGTTTCTGGATATGTTATTAAGTAAAAATGGATTTAATTTTAAAGTAAAAATAAAAATTTATCTGAGAAGCTAAATAAAAATGTCTATTAAGAATTTTAATAATAACTATTTCTATGATTCTGAAGATATGAGATTGAAATCTAAATTTATGGTTTATTTAATGAAGGAAAACATTTTTAGAATAACCATTTTTGTTAACTGTTGCTATGTAACAAGTTAGTAAAACAATAAAAATGTCACAAAATGTTTGTGATATTTTTATTATAAGCTGTAGTTTCTCTCTCTTCTGCATATACAACTTTGTTTTAATGCTGCATCATAATATTACATTTTAAATGCTAAAAAAGTTTAAATTAAATGCTTGTTACTAGCAAAGCTCATTTGAAACTAATGTAACCATTTACTAATGTATTGATAATACATCGTCAACTTACAACATTATAAATTATTAGGTTTTGGACTGAAGAAATTTTTGGAAGTCTTTCTGTCCTGTGGGCACTAAAAGGGCTTTTTTCAGGTTCATCATGGGTTTGGCCATATGTACAATGGGTAAGATTGGTGAGCAGTGGAACCCTATATATCTGGGACAGTCCCCCTGAAATATTCCTGGGGTTTTTCAATCACCCAGATTTGATCCCAGAATAGGCTGTTCCTTTAATAAGAAACTTAATATGCTATTGATTCTAAGATGTATCTCTATTTAATACAAACAAAAAATGGGTTAAAAAGAAGAGCATCTTAGAATTGAGGAAATATAGTTGTATATTTCAATATTAATATTTACAAATGATTTCATTTTATTTCATATTTAACTTTACTAAGAAAGTAAAAAAAAAAAAAAAACATAAAATTTAATCAAAACAATTCTAAACAAACACTACATATTGAATGAAATAAGTTGTACTCACTTGTTACATAAGATGCATTGTGTAGCAATTAAAAGCAGATGATGATAGTAGTGGTGGTTTGTTAATTATAGAATGCTTAAATTTTTTATAATAAAAGAAACAAAGCTTTGTGATATAAAGTTCATTGGTTACTATCATAAATAAGTTCAAAATAAAGGACAATTGTAGTTTATATATGAATTGTGTTCTTTAAGTACATACAAAAATTGGCAAAATTATTGCATAGAAATATATGAAAATTCAAAAACATGACATAGAAATCAATAATAATAATCTACTGGCAAAATAAATTTATAAAGATATTCAGTACATTTCTAACAACATAGAAAATACTAAAAATGTGAATATGTTAGTCAATTAGTAAGTTGATTAGAATAAAGTCTTCAAAAATGAGTTAAATACTCAATGCTCAGGATATGACATATATATCTTATTCTTGATAATACTAGCATTCATCACTATTTATTTGTCATTCTCTGCAGTTGAGATAATATAATTGTCAACATATTCATTAAACTGATTAATTAATCTTCCAAATATTTCAATTCAACAAAGGATACATATTATTCAATAACTTTGATTTCTCCCCCTTTTTATCATCTATAAAATAAATTTTCACTCATCACAGGTAAACAATAAAATGCATTTTCAAACCCTGTTTATAAGCCAACAACATTTGTTTTCCAAAAACTGTCTTAATTTCTTTCTTTTCAATAAAATATTTTTACCTTTCTTCATATTATTGAAGAAGTTGTTGGATACTGTACTTGCACTTCATAATATTCCAAAATTCATTTATTAAACACAGGGACAGATCTATTTAGGGACTAATAGGGCTGAAGTCCTGGGCCCACAAAAATTGAATTATCATCATAAATTTTTAATACTTTTTCATTAATTATGAACACTTATCATATAGTAAAAACTAGTTAATATTGATAATATTCTATTATAATAATGATAATTTATAGCATTATTTGTTTTATTGTAAATGGGGCCCCATTGGACTTTAATAAGCCCTAGGCCCCAAAAACCCTACATCTGACACTGATTAAACATGAATTTAGGAAATATTGAAAAACACTGACACAATCATTACATATAAAAAATATTTAAAAATCTATTTAAAACCATTAATTGTTTCATAAATTAATGGGTCAACTTTTTACTGTACATACTTAATACCTTCAGATGCCAAATATACACCCATAACTGCCGTAAATGATCAGACTAAATTTGGATATAATGATTATAAATTAGAAATGAATTTGGCATTAGAGTGAGGCATTAGGTGCCATCTCGTATTAAAATTAATAATTATAATATTTAATTAATTTAGATTAATTGTGGATGTATATTTGCTTAGTATATTGTGTTTCAGTTGTATACATTTGTATATCTATACAGTCGACCCCCCCTATAACACTGTTGATAATTCTGTTTTATATGAATTTCATGTTGTATGAGTCACTTAGATTTTACAAATACATCAGCCGTTCACAGCCCGGCACACGTATTTGTAAAATCTAAGTGACTTGTATAACATGGAATTCATATAAAATGGAATTATCAACAGTGTTATAGGGGGATGACTGTACCTTGCCAGGATTGTGATGGCCAACTGAGTGCCTTGAGTGGATGTTTCTGGCTGAGGGAGTGATTGCATCCCCAGTTGGCACTGTAATAGCCATCAATTGTTATATCTTAAACTTATATATACTGGAAGAGGAGATAGGACCGAAGGTCCAGGTAGCATAACTGGCAACATGTCCGCACGGTAAGTGGGAGTTGCAGGTTTGAATCCTGCTTTGGGCCGATTTTCTTCCAGTTTAATCTAAATTAATTAATTAAATATTATAATTATTAACTTTAATACGAGATGGCACCTAACACCTCACTTTAGTGCCAAATTCATTTCTAATTTATAATCATTGTAGCCCGATCATTTACAGCAGTTGTGGGTGTATATTTGCTTAATATATCGGGTTTTGGTTGTGTATATTTGTATACCTTCAGATGCCATTCTAGGAAGAGAAAAATTTAATATTTCTAGAATTTAACATTTATAAAACTGTTAATTTTGTAAAGTTATTGATAATTCCTGTTTTTATGAAATTTTTTTAATAATAAATTATACAATTTCTATTTGTATCAACTAAAACTGCTTAATAATTTGATTTGTGGCATCATCTCTATACCACTAAATTAATTAATAGCACATCTTAATATTGAAGTTCAAAAATTAATTCCTATCAATTTTAACATTTTTGATGATAAAATATTAAAATTAAAAATACAGTTTTTAATTTTATTCTATCAATAAAATAAAATTATTTTAATTTCACAATGCAACTCAAATATCTCCCAAATATTTTCTAGTTTATTAAAGTTTGTTTTATATAAATATGACTGTACTTTTTATATGAAAATACAGTACAACTGTTTGTCGTATTTATTAATGTGTAATACAAACAATAAAAAACTACAGTGATAATGTAAATTATAAAACTAACAGCACAAAACCTTTCTCACTAATTTCTAGCCTTATTAACTGGAGTACAAACGTGTATGTGCATCTCCTGTACGTAGCACGCTTACTCTAAAATCTTTTTCCCCAACTTTAGCAAGTATCCTATCTGCACACCTCCCTTCTTTACCAAAAGTATGTTGTTTTTCTCCCTCGGTATCGTATACCTATCATCGACGAAGACGTCACGGGTAAGACGACACCTGAGTAAACATTGGCAGCATTTAAACTTCTTCTAACCGACGCTCCACAGTGTACCCGAGGAAGGCCTATTAAGAAGGCCGAAAACGTTTGTACTCCAGTTAATAAGGCTAGAAATTAGTGAGAAAGGTTTTGTGCTGTTAGTCTTAGAAATAGTTCTAGCTACATATGCATAGTAGTGTAAATTATAAAGTTAATAAATCTAAATTTTTTTAGTAAGATACTACAAATAAGAACCAGAAGTTATTGAATTTGGGTCTAAACAACATTCTGTTGAAATATTCAACTATTTGCAATATCAGGCCATATTCTAAACTTTGTAAGTTAAATCTCACTAATTTACCATAGTAATAAACAATATATATTCTGAATTTTGTTTTTATTTTAAAAACTTATAGCTGAGAAATTGTATAAAGTATAATAAAACAGTATAATTAACTTCGCTCATTTAAATCACACACTTATAAATTTATAAGTGTATTTAATTATTTAATATATTAGTTCTTTTTTTAATTAATATATTGATAATTATATATATTTTTTCTCAATATCCAGTGTGGTAGCTGATGAAAGCTATATATATTTTAGTAATAACCAAAAATAATTGTCATCAAATATATACAATGAAATTTTCTTGCATAAATCAAACTATTGTTGAGGTCATCATAAAAGAATTTGCAAAATATGATATAATAAAATACTGCTGTTTCTGACTAATCCTGTAGCACATACAATATATGAAATTTTTCCTCTTCAGGATCACAATGAAAACAGAAAATTATCATTATATAATTTAATAATTTATACTCAGATAGATAATCACATAAAATTCTTGATAACTTATTTAATGGAACTTAAAAGCCAGATTATTTTTGAAAACTGGAAACTTTTCATTTTTAATTGATAATTAAATAAATGTATTCTACAATTCTTAACTTATGTAACTGATGTGTTAATGATAAGTTATTCAATCTCCATAATTGACTATTAGAATAATGTGTTACATAAGTACAGTTTAGATATTGAGATATTTGATCATATACAATACATACTTTTTTATAGCATTAAAATATTTTTCTTCATGATCATATTTGTTTGAAATTGTTTAATCATCAAAATAAATTATATTCATTTGATCTGTAACTTCGAAAGACTGAATTTTAATGAAGTGTTTTTCTTTCAAAATATCATCATGATAACAAATGCAAAAGTTAAAATTCATTTTACAACACACAACAATGATAAATTTTCTTACTTATTTATAAATAATTCAAGCCCTTTTCTCCTCTCTTCAATAAACTCTTCATCAAAAATTCCATCATCCGATCTGAATGGTAACTGTCGTTTCCATGCCTTTCCTGGCAAAGGTGGAACTACAATCTTCAAAAAAAAAAAATCAAATCAAATTATAAACTGAAAACAAATAAAAGAAAATTTTAAAAAATTTCAGATATATTTACTTTGCTGTCCCTTTCCAATTCATTTCTTAACCATTCAAAATCACTGTAACGTCTTCTTGCTGTTGATTCTTTCAACTTAAACACTGGAAGATTTGTCTATTTAAAAAATAGTTATTAAATAAAATTATTAGTCTGTTAGATATAAAAAATTTAATTACATTTTAACTAATATGCTTTCTTCTGAGTATGTTTAGTTATAAAGTAGAGACTCACTAACAGACTTCAGATTTAACAAACAAAAAAAAATCTGTCCTGTAGAAAATATTTAAAACTATTTTTATTCACGAATAGAGCATGCTAAAAGGTCGGATCAACGTGTTAATCAGTATAAATTACTCAACGTACATTATATTATTATTTTATTCATACTTATATTTTTAGCAATAGCATACTTCTCTTCATCCAATTAGTCTGTTAAATCAATAATCTACTATAATAATTAATAATGTAATTAAATATTAAAACATATACTGTAACAATAATGTCATTACATTAGTTTTATCAAATCTGATCCATTTGAATTGGTGGCAAACTCAAATATTTATACCGATAAGATAAAAATAAATTCACACTAGTTATCTTAACCATACAACAGACATAATTCTTATAATAAAAGTCAAATAGAATCTAATTTATCTGCTTTTACATTATAAATATTGTACATATAACTAAAGAAAATAAGTCCTTCATTTTCCTACTATAAAAAATGGCTTAGTTTATTTGCTATAATTTTGTGGCACTAAAATTAAGTCTGAACGTAGATGTAGCATTCTTAAATATATCATTTTATTCCAAAATGTAGAAAATAATTTAACAGTTAAAACAGTTAATACTTGAATATTCTTCCAAAAAAACTACAGCAGAACCTGGTTGACTCAAATCAGTCAGGGAATAAATTTGAGTTATCCAGGTATGAGTTAACCAGGTTCCATTGTATTACTAAACAGAAATCTTAAATTCTGTTACACAAGTATTAGCTTAAGTTTACTTCATTGTAAATGGCTTTACACATACATAGATATATATTTATAACAATATAAAATGATAACAATTTTATAACTTCTAAATACTCAACAATACAAATAGTAAATAATTTTCTAGAATCTGATTTAAAATCATAGACTTTCCCCTTGAATAGCATTAACATGAAATTAGTTAATGACGACAACTTGCAAGTTATTTGAAAAATATCTTTGTTACTTTATGCAACTGGCCATTGAAATTGTGTCTGGCATAAAGTGAAAGTTACATTCGTTATGAAAGGCAACTATGTTTAGAAAAAGCATAGTCATATTATACGAATAAAATGTTTTAGAATGTCAATTTCTCTTATACAGTTTTCTAACAATAATAATATTTACAGATAATTTCAATAATAAAATATACAGGTTAGACTAAAAGTCAGTTAACCGTGTTTTATGTGTTTAAATACGTTCATTAATACGAATTGTTAATATTGGTTTCTTTATGTTCCTGTCAGTGGCCATTGTTTAGAGGTTTGACAATAAAATATTTCTGTAATTAATTTATATCATTTCGTCATATTTTTTTTTATAAAAAAATAATGTTTAAAAAAATTAATTTTAATTAATAACTTCGTTTCAAAATTTCATAAAAATAAAATATATAATATTTCCATGTGAATATTTTAAATTTTGGAATATATTTTACCATTTAAATGAATTAAAACCGATCTTCTGGAATCGATATCGCGTCAATCTTCGTTCTTTTACAATTTCGTTCGTATGTAGAACTGTCCGTTAAGACGATTGCTAGGCAATTTGAAAGTAATTATTGCAATTTAGAAGTAACTGGATGAATAACGATGCGCAATTAACTTTTTAATTGCGTGTCTCGAGTNAAAATTAAATAATTTGTATTTCACAAAACAATTTACAATATATAAATAATGAATATTAATGCAGCCATTACTTAAAGTACTATTTAATAAATGTGAATACAGTAGTACTTTAATATGTTGTATAAGTAACTCATTGTAGTATTTACTTTGTAAAAGTAAATATAAAATGACGTTCTAAATATAATTGAAGTTTTTAACAAGAAGAGAGAAATGTTCTGTTTTAGTTAGCATTGTATTTTTGAATATAGTGTTATAAATCCCAAAGATATTTATGACTGCTTATACAGAAAAGTCCAGCAACCTCAATTTAATGTGGACTGGGAAGGCAAAAGTTACCAAAAAACGACGAGCTTTACAAATAGCAATATTGCCAGTCTAAATAGTAGAATTTTCTTAAAGGTGTTTTATGTGAAAATTCATATACGTATTAACTGCATATCAATATTAAATATTTATATTTTTAGTTAAATTCTAATTTAAAAAATATATATATCGGCTGCTTTCAAGTTAATGGTATTCGTATAACAGCATTTTACAGAGGCACCTTGGAAAACGGGTTATATTCTTTGCTAACACTCAAAATTAACAACATTATCAAGTGTCGCCAGTGAGGAACGATAACTTACTCTATCCTAGTGTTAAAATTATAGCAGTAAAAATTAGATTACATATTTTTATTTTTTGAACGACTGGACTTTTACAGAATGTGGAGTTTCCAGGACCCTACCGTAATTATACATCACTTACTTATAACACTTATTTTTTTTTGTACAGGGTTAAATAAATATGTACTTTAAACTACATAAAATATTAGTTCACTATCTGATTAATTTTGTAATATTAAAGATTCATACATATTAGTCACCAAAGTAATTTATATTACAATAAAAAAAAGGGCATGCCGAATTTTGAAATGTTTATAAATTTATAGTATATAATTTAAACATTTTATGCATAAATTTATGGAAATAATTAACAGGAAATTTTAGATGAATATTTGTGTAAAGCATATCTTTAAAACTGAATAAAAACATTACATATCAATGAGTAGCATTGTTTTCCAACCAAAATATCGTATAAAACGGAAAACAAAAAGATACAATTTAAAACAGGAAGCTATTCAATTGAAGTTCGTTAAACAATCAGCTGATAAATTTCTTTGCTGCTTGACAAAAACGTCAAAATAACGATTAAACAATGGAAGAATGAAACCAATTACCCATAACAAAGGTATAGGAGGGGAAGAAATGGATATTTTATATTAACGGCTGCAAATACCTTTCGAGTTTACAAACTGAATCAGAGATTAATGTGCTCTTTCGATACAATAACAATGTTAAAATGCTCTCTCTCCGAGTTCGAGTTAATTCTCGAGGTGTTTAATTCGTTCTCTTGTTTTCGCTTTATGATTATTTAAGGTGATGTTTTGAGCAGAATTAAAAAATGCAAATTCCAAGACTGCGTCATTTAAAATTGAAAACAGAACATTCTCCATTGACTTACTCTCATGTGCACTTCGTAATCGGTATATCTCTTTCTGGCTAATCCGTGTGTTATAGGGCTTCCTACGTCAATCTCGAGAAAGTTAGCCGGCGCGGCGTAAGCATCGTCTAAAGTTTGTTTCTTTGTTTGAAGACGTTTCGTCGCATCAAATGGTTGATGAGGGATATCTGTCGCCATGACACTACGATGATGTATAATCCAATTTTTCTCTAACTGCCTGTAGATGGCGTTATTAATTACATTATTTATAAGCAAATTTTAAATAGATATTTAATTTTATTACATCATAATATAATAATTAATTATTATTAATAATTTATATATTAACTTAAAAAAAATAAAATTAAAGTAGAATTCGAAAAGTTAGCAAATTTATATTCTTTTAATTATTAAAATTATATTTGTTTTTATCGTGCACTAATGTGGCATATTTACGATGAAGTAATTTTAACGAATTTATTGATTTATACTTTTTAACTTTTTAAAATATTTTCTAATCTTTACATTTTTTATTATAGATGNAATCGAATATAAATATAGATTTTAGGAATACATTTTCTTCGAGAAGCTTTACATATGACGAGTATTTCCGAAATTAATTCCGCTTTGGGTTGCGCCTTTGTTCGATCCATACTGAAGCCCAATGATTGTATTTCCAGCTTTCAGCTGTTCGTCCGAAAACTGACGAACGTTGCTGTCAGCTTCTTTGGGACCGATGCTTTTCAAACCATATTTAGAAGCCTGAAAGAATTAAAAAAAAAAAATTACTTTATAAACGACTACTAGAAAATTTGTGATGAGAACAAGATTGAAGAACATTTAAATTAAGTCGAATTTTATACAAAAATCTTAATTTACCTTTCTGGCTAATGATTGAAGGCAAATACAAACTGAAGGAAGATTTTGTTTTTCCCATAAATCTACTGTCTGGAAAGTTTCTTCCGCAGGTACTCCTAATCTGCGGGCATGCTCTAAGAAGTTATTAATGTTCTCCATGCATTTGAATGCCATTTTTGTATTATTAATTTTTTTCTCGGGAATACTACCCGGTTGGAAGATGTTGATCAACCTAAAAATTTAAAAAAAATAATAATTTAGAAAACACTACACACAAAGCAATTTAAGAGACTCGAATACTCACTCACCTGCATAGAACTTGTCCATCTTTTAAGATGGCATAGAGATTATCCGGATTGCCATCAGTATCAATGTCTATGTCCATAACATCTTTTAACCATCTCAACAATTCGCCGGCTAATTCTACATCATATTTAGCTTGAATCTTAAAAGTAAAGATATATTAATAAGCACAATTTTTTATTTAAATAAAAGTTATTTCTTCATTCGATGTAAGCCTTTTTCGCAAACTGCAATTTTCATTAATTTTTCAACCCACTCAATAACCGAAGAAACTTGAATTATGTTTAAGTAAGATTATGACAGATGGGAAGGGCAGTTTACACTACGTCTACCTTATCTCCACTCCCATTTCCTTCTGAAAGAACTGGTAGTTCCTTTTAGTCGTGACAGTTCGAGTCAGATAAAAATTTCAAAGTTCAAATATCAACTTATGAATCATCCATTTCGCAACTTAATAAAAAATAAAATAAAAATATTCTCAGACATGAATATTTACTTAATGCACTTAACTTTGCATATTTCGAGGAAAAAAAATAATAATGATAACGAAGCTGATAAATCAACACTTAAAAATATTAGCGTTGTGTAAACACGCTAAATTATTTAAGAATTTATTAATTGTATTAGCAAAAATTATAAATAAATTAAATAAAACTTTTAGCTTAATTTTTAATTTAAATTTGCCGACTTTAAAAGAGGATAAATAAATAAGTCAAAAAAAGTTATTTAATTAAATACTTACTTTGCTATGAGCTTCGGCTGCTAAACCAGATTTAGTGGCTCTGTTTTCCGCCATCTTTTTTTAAAAATAAAATACTTGTATAGACAAAAATCAGGGAGCGTCAAAGAGACAACAACTTAAGCTTCTTTCTTCCAACGTTTACTTTGCTTTTGGCTCTGTGGATAACTTCTACTTCAAATGGCACGTGACGCCAGCTTAAAAGTCTAATTGGTCAGAGCTCTTACGTCATCGAGACTGTTACGTGTAACTAGGACACGTGCAGATAACGTAATTCACGCGAGCGTTTTTGACTATATATGGTAAACCACCCACTGTCCTAAATTTTTACTAAACTTTCGATAATTATTTGATACGAATTAAAAAAAAAAATTAAAATATCGATCAAGGATGGATAACACGGATTTTAATTTTCTTATCAGAAAAAAAAATTAAAGCATCTACCAATATTTTGCTTAAAAAGTTTTTGTAAACTGATAATCTTACTTCTGTTTGCGGGTTTCGTATTCCGTTTCAATTCTAATTCATAAGCGAAAAGCGAAACACTATCGGCAACTATTTTGTACAGACTCAAAACAATGCTCTTGTTTGAAAGCAGCTGTTCGGATTTTCAGAAACATCTGCCGAACCTCAACGATTGGATTTTAACGTGACGCGACTAAGACACCCGACATCGTAATTCATTGCGTCAATAACAAAGCGAAGAACGATATAATGCCGATCAATCCATTATGACTAACATTTAATTCGGTTCGAGTAAACTATTGATAGTTCAGCTATTTTGGATCGTTAATGTCAAATATATTTAAGCGTGATTCTTCAGTCTCATTACAGCTCTAAAATTACGTTAAAAAAATTATACTATGAGGACGAGATTTTAACGAGCAAAACCGAATTCACTACTAAGATTAATATTTAAAAACACCAAGCCAAGATAGTAAAAAAATTATTTAATTTACTAAATTCATACCAGATTAAGACAGTTTAAAACTCATTAACAATTTTGAAATTTCAAGTATTTTGTAAATATTACTAATAAAATTTCAAAATCTGCATAACAATTACAAAACTAAGTCACGTTAATTTGTACAGATAACATGAAACTGCAGAAAGTACAAAAACATGTAAAAAATTCATTCTTTTTTTTTTAAAAAAAAATCGAATATAAATATAGATTTTAGGAATACATTTTCTTCGAGAAGCTTTACATATGACGAGTATTTCCGAAATTAATTCCGCTTTGGGTTGCGCCTTTGTTCGATCCATACTGAAGCCCAATGATTGTATTTCCAGCTTTCAGCTGTTCGTCCGAAAACTGACGAACGTTGCTGTCAGCTTCTTTGGGACCGATGCTTTTCAAACCATATTTAGAAGCCTGAAAGAATTAAAAAAAAAAAATTACTTTATAAACGACTACTAGAAAATTTGTGATGAGAACAAGATTGAAGAACATTTAAATTAAGTCGAATTTTATACAAAAATCTTAATTTACCTTTCTGGCTAATGATTGAAGGCAAATACAAACTGAAGGAAGATTTTGTTTTTCCCATAAATCTACTGTCTGGAAAGTTTCTTCCGCAGGTACTCCTAATCTGCGGGCATGCTCTAAGAAGTTATTAATGTTCTCCATGCATTTGAATGCCATTTTTGTATTATTAATTTTTTTCTCGGGAATACTACCCGGTTGGAAGATGTTGATCAACCTAAAAATTTAAAAAAAATAATAATTTAGAAAACACTACACACAAAGCAATTTAAGAGACTCGAATACTCACTCACCTGCATAGAACTTGTCCATCTTTTAAGATGGCATAGAGATTATCCGGATTGCCATCAGTATCAATGTCTATGTCCATAACATCTTTTAACCATCTCAACAATTCGCCGGCTAATTCTACATCATATTTAGCTTGAATCTTAAAAGTAAAGATATATTAATAAGCATAATTTTTTATTTAAATAAAAGTTATTTCTTCATTCGATGTAAGCCTTTTTCGCAAACTGCAATTTTCATTAATTTTTCAACCCACTCAATAACCGAAGAAACTTGAATTATGTTTAAGTAAGATTATGACAGATGGGAAGGGCAGTTTACACTACGTCTACCTTATCTCCACTCCCATTTCCTTCTGAAAGAACTGGTAGTTCCTTTTAGTCGTGACAGTTCGAGTCAGATAAAAATTTCAAAGTTCAAATATCAACTTATGAATCATCCATTTCGCAACTTAATAAAAAATAAAATAAAAATATTCTCAGACATGAATATTTACTTAATGCACTTAACTTTGCATATTTCGAGGAAAAAAAATAATAATGATAACGAAGCTGATAAATCAACACTTAAAAATATTAGCGTTGTGTAAACACGCTAAATTATTTAAGAATTTATTAATTGTATTAGCAAAAATTATAAATAAANATAAAAGGCATAGTTATTGCCTTCTATGGGCTTATGTTAAGGGTGGATGGTGAAAGATGATAAAATTATCCTCCTACTAATTCTAATTGAATTTTTAAAGTACAGTACTTAGAAAATTTAAATTGAAGAAATACACAATTAAATATAAATACTAATTTGCTGGGATGAGAAAAATATCAATAACTCTGTAATAGTAAAATGCAGGCCTTTTTTTTTAATATGATATACGAATTTGTACTGAAATTAAATATTCTTCTTTATTTACATTCTATTTTTAGAATGCGATTGCAAAATAAAATCATAGAAATATAAAATGTCAATATATCGTAAAAGATGAAATTTCATATTCTTCATACGTAAACATGAAATTTATCTTTTATTATATAATTTAAATTTGCCGACTTTAAAAGAGGATAAATAAATAAGTCAAAAAAAGTTATTTAATTAAATACTTACTTTGCTATGAGCTTCGGCTGCTAAACCAGATTTAGTGGCTCTGTTTTCCGCCATCTTTTTTTAAAAATAAAATACTTGTATAGACAAAAATCAGGGAGCGTCAAAGAGACAACAACTTAAGCTTCTTTCTTCCAACGTTTACTTTGCTTTTGGCTCTGTGGATAACTTCTACTTCAAATGGCACGTGACGCCAGCTTAAAAGTCTAATTGGTCAGAGCTCTTACGTCATCGAGACTGTTACGTGTAACTAGGACACGTGCAGATAACGTAATTCACGCGAGCGTTTTTGACTATATATGGTAAACCACCCACTGTCCTAATTTTTTACTAAACTTTCGATAATTATTTGATACGAATTAAAAAAAAATTAAAATATCGATCAAGGATGGATAACACGGATTTTAATTTTCTTATCAGAAAAAAAAATTTAAAGTAAATAATAATAATCATTTTAAAATGTTGAAATTTAAGTTTTATTAATAATTACTAAAAATATTTTATTTTTGGTGAATAAATTTTACGTTTTATTAACAAATTTTCTAGTAAAATAATATTAAATAAATTTATTTTATTTTTTAATGCCAATTATTAATAATAGATGGCGCGTTGTATTTTTTTTAAATTTAAATTTCATTTTTTTAAAAAGTTGTTATTCATTCTTTGCTTCTTAAAATCAATTTAAAATATTATTAATTATCGTATACTTTAATGAATTGATTCCTATTTTAAACATAAACGAGTTTTGGAAGTGAGAACTTCGGTGACGTCATCAACATTACTAATGATAAAAGAAAAAAAATCATTATCGATTTATTTATACCGACTGTCGCTCCTGTATGTTCAGAATAACATACAATATTCAACAGTAAAATAAGGTGTAAATAATAAGTTTAGTGGGTCGTATCAATCACTAATTTTGAATATACAGTAGATAAGGTCACTGTAAAGAGGTCAAAAATTCGTATTTAGTTAGCAAAAATATAAATTTTTCTCCCCTTAAAATGGTCTGGCGCCAGACGTTTTAAAGGGGAGTTTATGTCCATGTTAACTGCGAGTTATCTATAAAGTAAAAGAGTCTGTTGATCACATTCTTGACTAGGGTTGCATTACTTTATATTTACTGTGTCAACACAGTTTTGCCCAATATGGCTGGGTTAAAATAGATATGAGTCAGTAAAATAGGGTGAATTCACAATTGCTTCCAAAGAAATGTAATTCATTATCTTTACCAAATTTCATATTTAAATTTAACGTTTCTTTATAAAATCCCTTGTAGATTAAATTGTATTAGTGTTAAATTAAACCCATTGCTAAAAAAAAGATTTATAATAATTAAACTATAAAATATTTAAAAAATTCATACGAATTAATTTAAATCGAATAATAACAAAAAAAAAAAAAAACTTGTATTTTTATCTTGATAAAACACAACATCCTGCATTTTCTGGTACGCTGTTCGTCAGATAAAAGTTCTATCAATTATTATAATAATGTTTTATTTAATGAACGAAAAAAAATCTAGAATTCAATTTTAAAATTCATGATAAAAAAATAATAATTTATAAATATAGAAAATTCTTTATATGGAAGTTAAACAAGACTGATGAGGTCACGGCATTGACAGATTACGTTAATTGTGACGACAGTATTGATAGGGATTACGTCACGGAATTTGACACCAACATAAGCTCTTCTATTCACCTAATATCTTTAATATTAATGCGCGGAATGAGGTTGGGTAAAGGAAAAATATCAAGTTTTGTAAATAATCCTTTTTACATTTTTATTTTTATATTTTGATTAATAATAGATGACAACTTCAAAAATTGGATATTTCATAATTTCATATTTTACTAGGTTATAGAAATGAAAATAAGAAATGAATTAAATGAAAAATAAAATAAAAATATAGAATAATTGAGCTTTATAAACATTTATAGAATAATAAATCATAAAAAGGCTTCAACTTGAACTATTTTCCATTATATTATATTATATAAAAACCAGAACTAAAACGGATGTTAGATAGTAAAATTGCCTGTTAAATTAACTTTAAAGGATATGTTTTATTATTTTTTAAAGAATTAAATTGTTCACATATAAAATATTCGTAACGATTCAAAATTTATTTAATTTTTTTTTAAATAGAAAGTCATCTGTGGTTTCTACAAGTCAAAATACTATTAGGTAGTAAAAGTATCCTTACAATACTAAACAAATAAAAATAATTTAATAATTAAATAGTTAAATATTTAATTATGAATGGAAAAAAAATCATCTTGTTTTAAAATAAAATAATAGTTTAAATAATTATCTATTTAACAAATTGTAAATTAATACTAAATTTACGTATAAAGTAATTGCTCAAAAATTCTTCCACAGAATCGAACTGATAATAAAAAAGTTATCAAAGATTAACACATAATACAGGCTTATCAACATATACCAATATTTATTAAAGGTATTTAACATTCAACCATTTTTTTTAGCATAAGATAAACGATTTTATATAAATTTTTATTGTACTTCCAAATAAAAACGCCCATAAAAGGCATAGTTATTGCCTTCTATGGGCTTATGTTAAGGGTGGATGGTGAAAGATGATAAAATTATCCTCCTACTAATTCTAATTGAATTTTTAAAGTACAGTACTTAGAAAATTTAAATTGAAGAAATACACAATTAAATATAAATACTAATTTGCTGGGATGAGAAAAATATCAATAACTCTGTAATAGTAAAATGCAGGCCTTTTTTTTTAATATGATATACGAATTTGTACTGAAATTAAATATTCTTCTTTATTTACATTCTATTTTTAGAATGCGATTGCAAAATAAAATCATAGAAATATAAAATGTCAATATATCGTAAAAGATGAAATTTCATATTCTTCATACGTAAACATGAAATTTATCTTTTATTATATGGAATTAATGCTGAATAATAAAATCCTTCCGTCTGTCCAATAACATTCTAAAGAATATAAAAGAAAATAATATTCTATAATATAAATCGATAAGTAATAATATTAAATAGCAAAATGATATATACATAAATATTATCGCAAATTTAGACAATAGAAGTATTGTTCAATAATAATAACAATAATAACTTTAAAGAAGAAGAATATAACTTTGAAGAAGAATATAAAATAATGATTGAAAGTTTTGACAAATCAGGAAATTTATTTTGGAAAAAATTATTGCCGTAATAGGTAGAAATTTAAGACAAATTGTTTGAGAAATAATAATCTAAATAATTTTTTTTTAAATAAATATTCATCTGTATTCATTAAAATTAAATCCTGTTACTAATCAAAATTATTTAAGTACATATCTTATCTAAAAAAAAAACTATTTTATTTAAAATATTTCTAGATAAAATGCCAACATTTAAGCGTTGAGCAATACAATATCGATAAAATTTCGATATAAAAATAACAATAAAATCATTACATATAAAAATTTTTTTGGTATGAAAACTTCATTTGAATAAAATTCCGATTGAATTTTTATTTATTTATTTATTTAATTATTTTATCGTTTTCCGTATCAAAAATTTCTATATTTAATTTTTGTGACGTAATTCGTGTCCCAACAGAACGCGATTAGACAATCGCCTTCCCTCGTGACGTCATGTAACGTTATATGTATTTATAAAAAAAATATTAAAAAAATGTATTTGACGTGTTGTCAACTTGATTTTGAATTTAAATGAACGTTTATAATATTCAAACAATACTTTAAAAAAATTTTAAAAAATGGATACTTAAATTTTTAATCGTAGTGTATTTTTATTTTTATTTTAAATTTTAATGATTAAATTTCATATTTAAAATAAAATTATTATTATTATTAAGGCGTAAGTTATTTAAAAATTTTATTCTTTATTTAAGTTTCTTAATTCAATATGGCGTCAGTAAAAAAATTTGAGGAATTTATAATTATTCATTTAAAAGCTGAAGGCGTTTTATTTAAAATGTGATTAGGTTAGTTATTAAGATAATCTTAAACAAACAGGAAGCAAGATAGAGTATAAATTACTCGAATCCATTATTTTTCATTGTTAAATGACATACTGAAAAGTTAAAGTTGGCTTGAATAATTAAATAAGGGTCAATATCTTCCCCCATCGAGTCGTTGATGTCAAAACTAAACATTCATTTCCGTTTGTCTCCCGAGAATCTGTCCAACTCTTGAAAGATCAAAGTTCATCTTATGTTCTAATTTAAACCATTTTAATGGATAGAAAGAATATCTTACCTTTTCTATTAAAATGATCCTCTTTAAGTTGAAATTTTCGAAATAACGTCCAATTTTTGAGAATAAAAATAGTATACTGAGAAGTAGAGTATGTGTTTATGTGACTTCTTCTAGTATTCTGATATAAAGATTTTTAAAAATTATTTTAATATTGAAATATAAATTGAAAGAAAAAAAAAATAAATTTACATTTAACTGAAGCTTTTGTCACTTTGATTTATATTTTGTAAAATTTATAATCAATACATGAAAATTTAAACCTTTATCCAAAAAAATGTTTTTAAAGTTTTAATAACATATTCCCTTCCTTTACAGATTTATGAAATAAATTCCCTATATGTCTTTATTTATAAATTTATTAAATAAATTACCTTATATGTTATTATTTAAAAGTTTATGAAAGTAGTTTATATTGATATGTCTTTTTCACAGATCTATAAAGAAGTCTTATTTAAATAAATTTACTCATATTTACGAATTTATAAAGAAACCTTATATTTGTCTGTCATTTCTATATTTATAAATATCTTATTTCCATATTTTTGTTTATAAAAATTTGAAAATTCTTTTATATCGTCCTCCGCATCTTTATCAGGATCTTGATTTTTATTCATCTTCTTTAGAGCTTTATAAATAAGACTTAGTATTTCCCTTTCTTACTGAATACTTTAATAAAACTAAAGAGAATTTTTTTTTCTTTACAAACTTTATATCTGTTGTAAAAATAAACCAGTAAAGATAAGTCATACTATATAAACAGGTGGTTATACTCTCAGTTTATAGACTTAAAAGGACCCACTCAACTTAAAAACTCCGTCTTTCTAACTTACTAAAAGAGGTTTCCTTCAAGTAGAATGGCCCATTCTCCTTTTGTGGACCTCTAAAGAAAATATAAGATTCACAAAATGTGTTTCCAATAAAAAAAAAAAAAAATGTGTCNTAAAATCATAGAAATATAAAATGTCAATATATCGTAAAAGATGAAATTTCATATTCTTCATACGTAAACATGAAATTTATCTTTTATTATATGGAATTAATGCTGAATAATAAAATCCTTCCGTCTGTCCAATAACATTCTAAAGAATATAAAAGAAAATAATATTCTATAATATAAATCGATAAGTAATAATATTAAATAGCAAAATGATATATACATAAATATTATCGCAAATTTAGACAATAGAAGTATTGTTCAATTATAATAACTTTAAAGAAGAAGAATATAACTTTGAAGAAGAATATAAAATAATGATTGAAAGTTTTGACAAATCAGGAAATTTATTTTGGAAAAAATTATTGCCGTAATAGGTAGAAATTTAAGACAAATTGTTTGAGAAATAATAATCTAAATAATTTTTTTTTAAATAAATATTCATCTGTATTCATTAAAATTAAATCCTGTTACTAATCAAAATTATTTAAGTACATATCTTATCTAAAAAAAAAACTATTTTATTTAAAATATTTCTAGATAAAATGCCAACATTTAAGCGTTGAGCAATACAATATCGATAAAATTTCGATATAAAAATAACAATAAAATCATTACATATAAAAATTTTTTTGGTATGAAAACTTCATTTGAATAAAATTCCGATTGAATTTTTATTTATTTATTTATTTAATTATTTTATCGTTTTCCGTATCAAAAATTTCTATATTTAATTTTTGTGACGTAATTCGTGTCCCAACAGAACGCGATTAGACAATCGCCTTCCCTCGTGACGTCATGTAACGTTATATGTATTTATAAAAAAAATATTAAAAAAATGTATTTGACGTGTTGTCAACTTGATTTTGAATTTAAATGAACGTTTATAATATTCAAACAATACTTTAAAAAAATTTTAAAAAATGGATACTTAAATTTTTAATCGTAGTGTATTTTTATTTTTATTTTAAATTTTAATGATTAAATTTCATATTTAAAATAAAATTATTATTATTATTAAGGCGTAAGTTATTTAAAAATTTTATTCTTTATTTAAGTTTCTTAATTCAATATGGCGTCAGTAAAAAAATTTGAGGAATTTATAATTATTCATTTAAAAGCTGAAGGCGTTTTATTTAAAATGTGATTAGGTTAGTTATTAAGATAATCTTAAACAAACAGGAAGCAAGATAGAGTATAAATTACTCGAATCCATTATTTTTCATTGTTAAATGACATACTGAAAAGTTAAAGTTGGCTTGAATAATTAAATAAGGGTCAATATCTTCCCCCATCGAGTCGTTGATGTCAAAACTAAACATTCATTTCCGTTTGTCTCCCGAGAATCTGTCCAACTCTTGAAAGATCAAAGTTCATCTTATGTTCTAATTTAAACCATTTTAATGGATAGAAAGAATATCTTACCTTTTCTATTAAAATGATCCTCTTTAAGTTGAAATTTTCGAAATAACGTCCAATTTTTGAGAATAAAAATAGTATACTGAGAAGTAGAGTATGTGTTTATGTGACTTCTTCTAGTATTCTGATATAAAGATTTTTAAAAATTATTTTAATATTGAAATATAAATTGAAAGAAAAAAAAATAAATTTACATTTAACTAAAGCTTTTGTCACTGTGATTTATATTTTGTAAAATTTATAATCAATACATGAAAATTTAAACCTTTATCCAAAAAAATGTTTTTAAAGTTTTAATAACATATTCCCTTCCTTTACAGATTTATGAAATAAATTCCCTATATGTCTTTATTTATAAATTTATTAAATAAATTACCTTATATGTTATTATTTAAAAGTTTATGAAAGTAGTTTATATTGATATGTCTTTTTCACAGATCTATAAAGAAGTCTTATTTAAATAAATTTACTCATATTTACGAATTTATAAAGAAACCTTATATTTGTCTGTCATTTCTATATTTATAAATATCTTATTTCCATATTTTTGTTTATAAAAATTTGAAAATTCTTTTATATCGTCCTCCGCATCTTTATCAGGATCTTGATTTTTATTCATCTTCTTTAGAGCTTTATAAATAAGACTTAGTATTTCCCTTTCTTACTGAATACTTTAATAAAACTAAAGAGAATTTTTTTTTCTTTACAAACTTTATATCTGTTGTAAAAATAAACCAGTAAAGATAAGTCATACTATATAAACAGGTGGTTATACTCTCAGTTTATAGACTTAAAAGGACCCACTCAACTTAAAAACTCCGTCTTTCTAACTTACTAAAAGAGGTTTCCTTCAAGTAGAATGGCCCATTCTCCTTTTGTGGACCTCTAAAGAAAATATAAGATTCACAAAATGTGTTTCCAATAAAAAAAAAAAAAATTGTCATAGTAAAATCTCAGTTATATTATTTTTACACTCCCTTCCTGTATAAAGTTTAAGTCTAGCAGATCCATGCTCAATCATACTAACCCATTGATGCGTTATTTAAGAAAAATAATACGTTCAATTGTTGTTTTCGTATATAAAAAAAAGTAAATCTGAATTATTGATTGATCTCTTTTATAGTTACAGCTCCCAAAAGAGAATAAAAAGCCATCAAATAGAGTAAATAATTAAGAAGAAGCGCTCTAAAAATGTTTATGTAACAAAAAAACAACAACTAACGCCATCTCGTAGCAATCATAAAATTAAAACAATATAAAATATTTTTTAAAAAAATGCAATAAATTGGAATATTATTCAAGTGAATAATAAATTCACACGTGTGTAAATACAAATTTACATATAATCATCAACGGATAAAGCCTCTTGCAAGTATAGAATGCTAATTACACGGCTTAATCGAACATGTATACAGTTTATTTTCGTAATGATATTTTCTCTAAATAAATAAATAAATAAATATTCATTCTTTTATTCATTACAATGTTTACAATTAAAAGTATAATTTTAAAAAATTCTTACGCAAATAATAAATATAAAAATCTCAAGTTTTTGTTTTGTTCTATTTTATTAAATTTCACACATAGCTTTGTTGCTTAGCTATGGCATTAGAGCAGGGGTGGCCAACAGTTTTTGCCCCTGGGCTGAATTGGAAAGAAAACTTTTTTCACGTGCTGAACCAGAGGCTGCCCTAGAAAGATTGTGGTGGTGCGAGATCTCATTGTGGCGTCACCACGTAGAGACTAAATTGTACATAGAGATTACAGATACATTTTTCATATTATCATGCTTTATCAACATTCTATGTGGTACTTAAGAAANTTATATTTATTGCATTATTTTAGATTTATAGAGTTTAGAAAAATTTAATAAAATATAATCGAATTTAATTTCTATAATGTGTTTATCGCTTCATATTGATTTTTTTTATCATTATTTTTTACCTGTTTCAATTCTATTTTTTAATGTATGTTTTATATTTAAAATATATGTAAGGAATATAATATAAAAATCTAAAATATTAAATTACATATAATTCAATTTAAATATACTTTTAAAAGTAAGAGAATAATTTATTAATAAGAAACATTAAAAACAATGAAAGGTGTGTATGTATAGCATTATTAAAATAAATATTTTTAATATAACTTTTACTGGTTTTAAGCTAAAAAAAACTTCTATTTATTAATTTATTTACATGTTCAATTTAAACTTTAGAATGTATTTACTCATATATTTGAAATGGAGTATGGAATTAAACATGTACAAATCGTAGATTTTTACGTTAATTTTATGTTGTTCATTGTAAATAAGTTATTAATATTTTATATTAAGTTTGATTTTAATTTTATGTGCATTTATATGCATTTTCTTTATATTAGAAAAATTAAATTTCAGCCTAAACATTTCAATTTATTAATATATATAATGTATTCTACTGTAGAAGAAGAAGTAGCAATAGTAGAAGTAGTAGAAGATGAAGAAGTAGAAGAGCTTTACTCGAAGATAAACTTGGAGAAAAGAGGAAGGAGAGGAAGAATGAAGTGGAAGAGGGATGAGATAGGAGTAAGGTAAAGAGAAAATGGAGAGAAAGACGACTATGAGGGTCACTGAGCTACTGAGTTCACTCATTCCTGCACAGATCAGTCCCAAAATTTCTGACCTCATCTTAAAATTGCTCGATTTTTTTACTAAATAATAATTTTAAAAAATCATAAAGAATAGATTAATTACATTTGGTATTTTTAGAATGTGTTTTTATATAGAAATTTAAATGCATTCTTTGTATAAGTAAAGATGTAGGCGAGACAGTTTCTAAATTAAGAAAAGTTAAATATTAGTGTACAAATTACAATATTATTTTTGATACTTTACGTATAAAATTATAAGAGATTTTAATTTTAATATGCAAGTTACTAATTCAGGCTTTAATTTTACTCGCAAAGATTAATTTTATGTGAAAATAACCAAGAGGCTTAGTTTTAATATGTAAATTGTGTGCTGAATTTTAATGTAACCTGAAAATTTAACGTATTAGTTTCTAAATTTTAATTACAGATTTGTTTATCTGTAAATTACTGCTCGATTTTAACTTTGGAGTAAATTACATCTGTTTGGTATGTGAATTACAAAACGAGTAATTTTATGTATAAATTGTAAATTCGGATTTTTAATACTTACTGTAACTTAATGAAGGCTTAGATTATATGTATGAAATATATATTTATGTATAACTAAATCAGCTTTTTAACTTTATAAGGGTTATAAATCGGTTTCAATTCTATACGGAAATCACAATAATGGAATAAGAATTATAAAAAGCTATTTTTTAAATTTTTATCTTCTAAAAATTAAACAAATACTTTTTAATTTGTGAATAGAAGCAAAAATATTTTAATTAATAAAATATGTTTGATACATATTACAACTTTCTTCACTTTACTAGCTAAAATTTATTGTTAAGGTAAGTGTTTTATACTGTAAACTGTTTAATTTATCGTATATTTTGTTTTTATTACTATTATATTTCATTTATTTAAGAGAAATAATTATAATTTATAGAAAAAAAAATTAAAATTTTTATTGAATTTTCATAAGAGATATATTGTTTTACAAATAAATAAATAAAATAATGGTAGAAAAGAGAAAATATAAAAAGTATCGATTATTCTAAAGTATATATTAATAAATAATATAATTACATATATTTATATTAATTAGGAGTTACTAAATAAACAAAATTCTACCTGTACATTTCTTGTTATGCTTTTATAGTCCAAAGTTAAATATAGACACATCTTAATTTGATTTTATGATAAATCCTGATGTTAATATGACAATATAAGGTAAACAATAACGGTTAATTTGAAGTTATTATAGTATTTATTGTTCTTTTTTTCTTGTCAGAACCTCTAACTGAATTTAACAACCGTGTATGCGTGGGTGGACCTAGCTCTATCAGCTGATTCATTCAGTATCGACCGAACCAATAGAAGGTATAGTAGCTAAGGTGTACAGTTATGTTAAGTTGACCTTAGAGTCTGATCATCATGTATTTACACGTATCATCATATCTACTACTTACTATGACCTTCTGTTGTGGAAGATCGGTGCGCTTATTTTTGGATAAAAACTCTGACGAAGATATGATACCGGCTATCCTATCTGAGTTTAATAAACATATAAGGATGGTTACATTCAGCAGACAACCGAGAAGAATTAATTCTAATCATGAAAGTAACTCCTCAAATTACGACGTACCGGTAATAGGTAAGTGCAAGTTACAATTTTATATTACAATATATTTATATTCTTGTTTCGTGATCCTCAACAGGTGTATCATTCAGCCTTTTCTTATCGGCTAACAATTAGAATGTAAGTGATGTTTTTTAATACGTGTAGATCGATTATGAAACCTCATAAACGTAGAAAAAATAGAAAGAAAAGTAGATAAATTCTCTTTCTGATAGGAAAAACAAGTGAAGACAACAAACCTCTTCATTTCTTTTTATGTTATCTCCTACTTAAGATTTATAGCTTTAAATTTTAAATCGGTGTAAGGTGGGAAGTTCTTAGGAGATTTGAAAGATGATTTGATAAAGAAATATCTTGCTATTTTACACCTCATCTTTCAAAATAAACCGTAAAACATTCTCTCTATTGTTAGCAGACTATTAAATAAATAAAAGAGAATGATGTAATAACCCTATAATTAACCTGATTCATAATTTACGTAATATTTTTTAGTTCTTATCAAGACTTAAATGAATTATAACAGCAGCAGTGAATTTAACTATTATTTTACTTATTTCAATATATTAACAACAACAAATTTATAAGTAAATTAAAGTATTGTCATGAAGCTAAAAACAAATATTATTTATAATCTATTTGCTTTCATCACTTTTAACATTCTAAATTTCGTTAACATTAATAAACTCGAAATAATATTTAAGATTTTAAGAATATTGTTAGAAAGTTCTAATTATTTATTATTTTTAATATTTCCCTCTCTTCTCCTCTTCATTAAAGTTCATTTTATAACTTGTTTAAACAACAAACATTTTAAATAAAAGTGTTCAACTACATAAGAATAACAATTGTGTTATAAGTCTCATTTGCAAGTCGCAAGGAGACTCATTAATAAAGTAGTAAATAGTATAGCTATTCGATATTTGAGTTTTTTAAATAGTTTTTTTCAGTTTTAAATAGCTGCGTGTAAGAGAAAGAAGAGAAAATAAACGTATGAAGTAAAAATTTTAATTAAAATATAATGACTTTCATAAGCTATTTACTTCGAAAAGGAGAGTATAAAGTAATAAGAGTAGGACTTTCATCACTAAAATTATAAATTTTTCTTAAATCTTTATTATTATTATCGTTTTTAAACACTATTAATGCTGAAAATTTGATGATGATGATGATGATACTTTTTAAATATTTATGTATTAAAAATTTAACTAAATTAATTTTAAAAAATAAATATAATTTAAATTATATATATTATTTTTTTTAAACACTATACTCTGGGAAATATAAAGTAATAATAGAGATTGATTAAATAAAAATAACTTCGATTTTCCGGATTGAAATGTTTTATACATTGTATTTAAAAAAAAAAAAAGAAGGATGAGAAAAATCGAATTGTTTACCAATAACATGTTTTCTAAAAGAAACAACAGTGGGTAATAACAATAAAAAAGAAGATAAGATTGAATCTTCAGTAGAATTTACCTTTTCAACCTTTACTTAAAGCAATAATTTAGCATTTATAAGATTTATAATTTATGTGAGTTAAAACAAATTTTTATCTTTATATTTATGAAAATTTAAGTCAACAATAAAACGAATAATTCCGTAAATAACAGTGTTTTACATAGAATTAATTATAACCTTATATTGTTTTAATATATTCTAAAAATAAATAGTAAAAAGTCTCATGAAAATATAATTTAAAAAAAAAGGGAATCTTTTAAAGTTATTTTTTAAAATAAATTAATATAAGTAAACGTACGATTTAATTTATAAAAAATTGTTATTTTAAATAATAAAAAGTGATTTATTTAGTCTAAACAATTTATAGCTGTTGATGAGTAAAGGTTAAATTGATTTGAGTGTTTATGGGATTCTAATCTCGACCAAATCTCTATGGCATTACAGTGTATTTATTTATTCTAAATTTTCTATTTTATTGTCTAAGAAATTTTAAATTGATTTGAAATATTTAGAAAATCTTACAGTGAGGTTAAATCACTTTAACGATTAATTTATTTGCTAAAGAATTTGTATTTATCAATAAACGAATATCAAATTAATACTTGTTAAGAGTTTAAACACTTAAAGAAAATAAAAGTGATCTATTTAATTTTATACGTTCTATGAAATATTAACGAGTGAATATATTGAATTATTTGAATATTTTTAAAATTGTACCAAAAGTATATGTCAATTAAAAATGTTCTGTTAATTTTTAATTATTAATTTTCTTATTTAAGAAATTTTTAATTAATTAAATTTATTTTCCAAATTAATATTAAAAATACTACCCAGTTCTAGAAAACAAGTAATTATTTTAATGTATCTTATAACTATTAATACATTAACTTTATATTAAAACTATATAAATGATCTCTTTATGTAGTTATTATAGAAATTCCAGAAAATATTCTAGAGAATAAACAAACCCATTTATTCATAATAGCATGCAAAATATTAATAAATAAACATTGCATTTTGTTGAATGATTGTAAAATTATAAATCCAATCTATGACGTTAGAAAACCATTATTTGTTATGGATAATCTATTTTAGATTATTTAAAATAAGACACTTTAAAATATTCATAAATTTACTTTCGAGTCATATTGGGATTCAAAATATTAAAATAGATTCAAATCCGTTTTCCAGAATAAATATATCTTCGGGTAATGGAAGCTTATAGATTAAATTATTCTAGACGATTTAACTCACTTATTTCCCTTTAACAAGTTATAAATTATTGATAACTAAATGTTGAATCGTTTTGAGAATTATAACAATAGCATCAAAATTGAACTTTTTTTAAAAAAAAGAAAATAGGTTTATACATTAAAAAAAAAATTAAAAATAAATTAAATTTTCATAATAATTATAGTCTACAGTTAAATTCTAATTCTAATTTATTTATTTTTTTTTCTAAAAAGAACTTAAATTGAATTTACAGATGTGAATATTTACGAAAATATTATTTGCTTGTGTGTTTACTATTACCATTTTCGCTTTTATTTTAACTCATATTTTATGTATAATTACAGAAAACTTTAAACTATTATTATTAATATCATTAAATAATAGTTAAAGACTTTCTGTTTGTATTTTTTAGTATAAAATACAATTGTTACTTTACAAACTCACATTCATTATTTTATATAACAACAAGTGTTTGAACAATTATTACTTTATGCTATAGCCTAAGGTAATACTTGCTTAGATATTCCATAATTATAATGACCATTGCTTAAAATATTATAATTGAATTGAAATTTTGTAATAGAGAAATATTAATTTAAATTGAATTATAATTTTATAAAATTTTAAAAATATTTATGTAAATTTATGTAGGATTTCTATTTATGAATTTGTGATTATGAAATTAATATGTAAATAAAGTCAATTTAATAATTAAAATTACATATGTCTATATTTATTCTAAGAATATACTTTATTAGTATGAATTAATTTATTATTATTAAGTTATTATTAGATTTCTAAATTAAATTATTAATCAATTTAATATTTAAGATGAATCTTTCCATAGAATAAGAATTGATCTATTTATTCTTGATACACTAAAAGTGTTGATAAATAAATGTTCGATTCTTTTAAGTGTTGACAAAATAGACAGAATAACAATAGATAACAGAACATATATTATTCTCAGTTATTTATTTTATTATAAAATAAAAATTAGTTTATCTATTTATGAAATTAATAATGAAATTATGTCTTTCTAGAGAATAAGTTTGAATCAAATATTACAGACAATCCATAGCTACTAATGAATAAATATTGAATTGCTTCGAGTGTTTATGATATTAATACCAAAATCAAGTTTATGTAGAGAATAAAAAAGTCATTTCTTTTCTTTTTTATAATCTACAATAGTTAATCTCTGACAAAATTTTTCTAATTAGCCATCAAACTATATATTCTATAGAATAAAATGAATTTATTTATAAACTGCTGAAGGGTACACGACAGAATTGTTGAAGTATTTATAAAATTAATTAAAAATCGAATCTTTTTAAAAAGTAGGAAAAAAAATCTATTATTCCGAACAATGTCTAACCGCTGTGAATAAAACTTAGTTTAATATGAGTGTTTATGAATTCAATAATCATTCAAATCTTCATAAAAATAATCTATTTATTCAGAAAATTTTTGAAAACCACCTTAAGTGTTTAGAAAATTCATTTCCTACATTAAATCTTTCTATCTTTAAACTATTCTTAATTATTCTATTTACGAATATTCTTTATAGTTGAAGGATTTTCCTTTATAAATTATTAATTAGAGATTAAAAAAAATACTAGAACACATTTATAGATAACGAAAAAAAAAATCTGCATTATTTATTTGTAAAATATATACAAGGAAATTAATTTAATTCTTAATTTAAATCAATTAACTCACTTGAATGTAAAATATTTGTAGACGATGTTTATGAATCTATTAGAAATATTCGTGAATGGTTTGCTGACAGAAATATCTTTTATCTGACTACGAATTACGAAATCGTTTTAGATATTTTGAAAAGATCCAGATCATAAAACTTCCTTCGGATAGCTTACGGATACTCAAACTTTCAAAAAACAATGATTTATGAATTCATAAATTTTCAACATCTTCTTTAAGTGATTTACTATTTATAAAAAGAATGAAGTTTTTAAAGGTTTATTTAATTGGATATTTGCATTAGGAACCGAACAGATTACCACCAATCTTTTTCAAAAAATCAGACAAAATTTTTAAGTAAATCTTTGCCTTGAATTTAATAAATCCCTACGCTCTTGCATTTTCTCTAGGCGATTTTTTTTAAAAAAAAAACAAAAATTCTATTGTTTACAAGCTTATTACGTAAACTTTAATAGAATATTTTAAATAACATTTTAAGAGTTTACATCCTAAATTAATTTACAAATCAATTCTAATGTATGTAAATAAGAAAATAAAATATGAAAAAATATATATATATATATCAATAATATTGGAAGATTTCGTTATTATTTGCT